GGGATGGACGGCACCGCTGACTGGAAATATAGGTGGTTCAAAGATAATCAGCCTGTCCAGGCAGATAGTACTGCATCCTTTGGTTTAGATGCAGCTACTCTCTCCATCAGTTCTGCTTCAGCCTCACACCATGGACGATACAGCTGTTCAGGAAAATTTAAGAGCCGGGATGTAACCAGCAACTGCAGTGACGGACTAACTCTGGATGTTTATGGTGAGGATTTTTCTTTAAAAATCTCATAAAAAGTCACAATTACTTTTTATGACTTTTGTTATGACACACTATGTCATAACAAAAGTCATAAAAAGTAAACAGAATATCATAATAAATATCATTGTGTAGTATATCATCAAAACAAGTTATCATGTAATGTCATAAAAAAGTCATCGTCTTAATGTCATAAAAAATGCCATTAAAAGTCATAGTATAGTTTTCATAAAGAAATAGATTGCAATATTATCTTTCTAGCTCTTGTGTAATACTGATATTACCCTTGATAAACATTGCATTGGGTTACTTACTTCATTAATTATCTTGTGCTTTGTTCCCATGCCGTCCATCTGAATTATGTTGCATTGATACAGTGGTTCAAGGGGCTACCACAAACTGAGACTGTTTAGTTGTGCTATCCTTCAATCAATGTATAGTAAAAGTGATATAATTGGTTAGAACGCAGTGAGGTCTAGACGAGGTCTTAAAATGTATGGAAGGAGTTTCAAAAAAAGTCTTAAAGGTCTTAAATTTAACGTAAAGATTCCTGCATATACCGTGTTTAGACAGAGCCAGGCTAGATGTTCCCCCCTGCTTCCAGTCTTTATGCTAAGCCTAGATAACAATGTCATGGCTGCAGCTTCATTTTCTTCTTTGGGAGGAATTCTGGTAAGGCAGTAGAGGTTCAGCATATCAAAAAAGTAAGTTAAAGCAGCTAAGGCCAGCTGCTCCTTATTCTGGGTTATGCAGTGTGACATACATTAAAATGCTGTCATACTTATTTCCCCACAGATACAAAACCCAGAGTCACACTGATGCAGGACCCCACACACAACGTGATGCATACTGAAGATTCAGTCTCCTTTAGCTGTCACGTTAATGTCTCTTCTGGATGGGAGTACCTGTGGCTCAAAGATGGTAGTCTACTCACCGAAACTGGAAACAATCACACTATCAAATCTGTTGCGAGAACAAACACCGGATCATATCAATGCAAAGCTAAAAGAGGAAGAGATACAGTCTTCAGCTCAGACCAGAGTCAGGCTGTGAGACTTGACGTTGAGGGTACGTTTTTCTTGACTTCTCGCTAACAATTTTCTGTATGTGTTGAATGTGTTCGTCACAGTTTTGATTGTGTTTTTACAGAGCGCCCACAGGCTAATATAATCCTGTTAACTGGCTGGTCCGAGGTCTTCTCCACCGACAGCTTGGTGCTCAGATGTGGGGTGCACGAAAGTCAGAACATGTGGAACTACACATGGTAATACACTTCAAAAATACCAGTTCATGCTATAGAGTAACATTCTCTAAATGCATTCATGTGTGCACTATGTGGATTCTTACCTTCTCACAGGTTCAAAGATGGGCAACCAATCGATCTTCAGCCCTCTGAGAAGCATGCAGTCACACCCCAGAATGACCCTGAGCAGAGCCTGTACACCTGCAAGGGCATTCGTACCGGTAGACCATCTTATTCAAGAAGCAGTGATTCTTTGAAGACTAAGAACCTACGTGAGTATAACTGAGGTTTGGAAGCTATGAGTTTTTACCCTGCAAATATTCTCACTTACATTCTCTGTTTCGTTTTTTTTTTATTCTTCAGTTTTGAAGAGGAGGGTGCTTCTTTCCATCTCTGGCTGCATCTTCTTCGGCATCATTGCTGTCTTCCTTGGATGCATCATCCTCAGAGTCATTCGCAAACCAGGTTTTCCTTTATTTTTTGGGACTTTTTGAGTGCATGGATTTTGAAAATCGTATGATGATAGAATAGAATTATCACGCAAATCTGCAGCTACCCTCAGCTTTATGGAGCATTTTAATGAAGCGAGTTCAGCTCATTGTTGATCTCTCCGGCCCACAACGTTACTGTTTTGGTTCACTCTCACCGCGTCGTTTTCGGGAGGCTTGTTTTAGGCAAAAAAAAGCTCTTAAAACCCATAGTAGTGGTCAGCACCAAATGTCAGACTGACACGGTTAGCGACTGGCTGGTGAACAAGTGGAGCATTTATCAACTAAAGAGCAGATATTTTTTGGTTTAGTGGAAACCAAAAAATACTTTTAGTGGAAACCAAAAACAGAGAGACTAAATAAAGAGTGAAAAGAAAGGCAATAAAATATAAAGTTGATGAAATGTCTAACCTTGTTTCAGCTGAGTGTTATTGCAGGTTTAAATGTGACATTTATAATATATTATATTCATTATATATATTTCACAAGGTGGTGACTTTTTTTTTTTTTTTTTACAACATAGCTGATGGTGAAGAGAAGCCAGAAGAGGCCGAGCTGTTTCTCACCATGGCTCAGCTAAAGGGCCGTGATGGTATGTTGACAGCAGCTCTCAGGGCTTGTGGTTTTGGTGGCAGTTACAGCCCCACCAGTGATTCATTTCCGTGCTACTTTAGAAATTATCATTTGTGAAACTGACATGTTCAAGTTAGACTCTGACTTTCTTAGTTTGCCTATAGCCGTTGGTGCTCTTGTGTGAACGTTCCTTCCTCCCTCCTGCAGATGCACCCTGTCCACTGGTTGAGTACATCACCGATGCAGAACTGAATGCTTCTTCTAAAGGTAAAGGACCCACAGATGAGTAAAGCAGATTATACAAAAGCTGTATCAATACGTTTTGAAAGTGCCCTAGATCTTTCCCTTCACTGACATGATCCCTTTATTTTTTTTTAACAATTTGACCTACAGAAGCTGACGACAATGGCACAATTTGCAGTGAAACACCGTTACCAATAACGTCACAGGAGGACCAAGGTAATAAAGTCAAATTTAAAAATGCACTTTTCAGAGTAAATATTGTCTCTGTGATGAAAGGCGCTGTGCCAAATATTTTTTTTAACAGACAATGTATTTATTTTCCTTCCTTCCACATCTCGCCCTTCATGTCTTTCTAGTTGTGACGAGTGAGAACCAAGATGGAACAGAAAAGAACGGCGGGCTGATTTCCTTTAAATAATGAGTCACTTAAGCTCTATTTGTACCAGTTTAGCAGGTACTTGATAATACGTCTACAGTATGATTCAGCCCTGTGAGGCTTTAATGGACATTTGGATGTATTAAAACTGAAGAGAGAATCATCTTGCTATTGTGCGACGCTTACCAATAGCAGGGCAGCAAATTCAAAGTTTTAAATTGTCTGTAGTGATAGATAAAAGTAAATTCATTAACATACGTCCTCTGGGGACTGTAAATGTTCGTACCAAATTTAATGGGAAATAAAACAGTTGACGAGAAGTTGCACCCTGGACCAACAGACATATGCCATTTAAATGTGCACAGATTTGTTCTGCACTGAACATTACTCGGTAGCATAATACTGTTAGAATTGTACACATTTTAAATCTCAAGATGTAAATGTTAAAGGCACAGTTAAAATATGAAACATTATTTATGTGATTAAGAATCAATCATATACATTGTTAGCTTCTTTTGTTTCTCAATTATTATAAGCATGTTACATATACGCATGTGTTGATCTGCAGGAGACTTTATCAATACTCCTTTAGTTAGTGTTCCAACACATGGGGCCAGATGTAAAACGATGTGTACTCACAAAACACATGTGTACGTCTTTTCCCACAGTTTCAATTTGAATGATTGTGTAATCATTTTGTGGTCTACACAGCCTTCTGTACAATTTCAAACAAAGGTGCATTTGTAAACCTAATTTTAAACTATTAATGAGTTATTATTGCTCTATCGATGATCTTTTGATGTTATCCCAAATAATCAATTAATCATTAATCATAATCTTTGTGACGTTAATGATGATTGAGAAATTACTGTGATGATGATTTACAGGTACATGTAATGAATTAGTGGTACGAGTGCTATAAATAGCCACGGCCCTGAGTAACGGTCAGGCTTAATAACAGCTGTTGTACTGTTGGAGAATAGAGCAGATGCAACAAAATCGATGAAATTGCTCTTTTTCTTTGCCATTCTTATCACTTACTGATGTCCAACAAGTGGTGGAGCAGGCACAAGTCTCACCATGCCAATGATTGTTTAAGGGTGTTTCTACATCCATTAATGGGTAACTGGGAGTTGATAAGAGGCTCATGCATGCACGTGCACACAGTTCCTTTATGGCTGAGACTTATAAAACAGAGTCAACCAAACGAAAATAATGCATATGCATATTTCTGTCTTTGTGTGTACTATTAGTCGTGGATTTTATGCATCTGGCCCCAGTGGTGAGTAAATGTAAGTTAGTCTTCTCCAAAGCTTATATAACATTAAATGTTTCAGCGATGAATGTTGTTGCTTTTTTCTTCTAAATGATTATATTTATCTACAGTATGTCATGCTACAAATATGCCATTCACGCATTTTGTGTCTCGATATGAAGTTATCAGAATAAAAAATACAAAATGATGCCATGAGAGTGTTCATTCTAGCTAATACTGATCTGCACCTTCAAAAGTCACTACAAGAAACACAAGTTCAACCGATGTGGTTTTAACAAATAAGCCGATTTGTGGTTCAGTCAATGGGTAGATCTTGTCATCATGTGCACCTGCAGCAAAAGACAACCGGGAAAGACGGTCATTATCCAGACAAACCTTAAAATCCAACTTTTTTTTTTTTTTTTTTTTTTACCCAAAAGAAGTTTAAAGGCTATATAGAACATACAGAATACTTACCAACTCACTACTACTTGAGGATTTCAGCCAGTTTCTCTACATAGTAGTCATAGTTCTCCTGACAATCCTCCCAGGGTGCAAAGCTCTCGTCCTCCTTCTCTACATACGTTTCCCAAACATGTGTGAAGTCAGACGGCTTCATCATCCGCAGTTTGCAACCGGCGCTCACCAAAGCCCGGAGCCCTTCTACTATCTCCGGCTCCTCCCACTCAAAGAGCCGGGAGCAGAAAATGCAGAGACGGACCTTCTTGCGCTGCTGGAGGATGTTGGCCAACTTGGCTGTGCAAGCCACACAGGGACTGGATGAAATATACCATGTGACTTCATACTCTTGGGAAGCATTAGGGAGCACCTGGAAAGGAAAGAGTGGGGATTAATAGAGGCATAAAGGAGAGAAAAAAAAAAATCATATTACATATAACATTAGCACAAGAGGAATTGTTGCAAACCAATGGAAATCAGACCTCCATTGGGGTTCACACGTGTGTTACATGATACTAAAGTAAGAAAGATGTGTGTGTGAGCGTTCAATTACCTGTTGAAAGAAGGCCTCTTCAGAATGAGCTGTGGCATGTTCATCCTCCATATAACCTTTCAGAGGCTCTGTGCTGCCTCCTGGTGTATCAACCCTGAAACACAGCAGGGTCTTGTTCCTCCCCGAAGAGTACTCCACATTCCTGAACTGAAACTTGAAGTAGAACGGGCTCATCTGTTCCCTAGTGGAGATTGAAAGGAAGAGCTTCCATAACTCTGTTGTAAAGCTTTATAAAACACAGCACTAACTGTCACCACTGGGGCTTTTTAGTGCATGATGGTTGAATTAGCAAGAGAGCAAAAAAACACATTCCGTGTGATTTATCTATCAGCGGTGCTTTCAAAGTTATTTGTAACCTTTAATCGTTGTGCATGACATTGTAACTGACATTCACTGCCTCGCCTAACACGGAGCACTTTTTATGATGAATTTGTCAACCATCCAAGACACAAAAAAAGAGTGATGATAGGGAGGCTTCAAAATAGACTATAGTGACACTGCGAGTAGAATATAAATGAGGCTACCGCTGAGTAAACTGATGTTTCTATAAATATGTTTGGCTTTCACATTGTCCGATGATCTGTAGATGTGCCAGGCCCTTCGTGAGTCAACTGTACAAGAAACATACCCGTCATGTCTTTCTTTTTTTTATCCATTGTTATACTGCATATGCAAAGCTAGATGGATTTCACAGTTAGATCTCATATCAAACAGCTAATACTCAAAGGACAGAAACTGTGGAACAGATGCTAAGTGGGGTGATATAGTGGGGGTTCTGTGACTCATCCCTATTCTTACCGCTGGGTTAGTAAGTACGACAGGGTTAGGGCAAGTCATTATTGTCCCTCCTCACTGAAATCAACTATTAAGCGTTTGGAACAATATCACTTACAGAAAGACATGAACACCTACTTCAAAAGAAAGCACAAAATAACCCAAAAAGTGGATTGTAAAAGAGCAGAACAGGTGTGCAACTGATGTGGCCTAATTCTTGTGGTGTATGTATTAAATCTTACTCACCCAGTTACAATCTCAAACGGTGGCAGTTCAATGGGCTGAAACTCTCCACTTTCCTCAGTGTTTGTTGCCTCTGCTCCCGTTGCGCCTCCACTTTTCCCATTCCTCTTCTCTTCATCCGTCTTGGGCTGCTCGGGGGTCTTCTCCGTCTTTTTCAGAAGTTTGGCAGACTTATTCACATTTTTTTCCTTCCCCTTATCCTTTTCTTTGTCCTTCTCATCATTCGTTTTGTTTTCTGACTTCTTCTCTTTCCTCTTAACAGTGACCCGGCTGTTTCTGTCGGCCATGATTTTGAGCAAGTGGGTAAGAGGCTTCGTTAAAGAGAAGGAGGGAGAAGGAGAAAGAGCTCAGGGCAAGTAGAGTGATAACACTAGTGCACTTACAGAAATAGATCCTATTGTGTGTCATGGTTTGAGTCACAACATGTGCATGTCTGGCCGGGGCAGGGGTAGGTTAACACACTCCCCCTCTTTCCATGACCTGGTTGTCAAAAGGCCAAAGGACAACACAAGAGTGATGTTTTGCATGATGGAATTAGGGGCAAAATTGAACATATCTCTAAGACAATTTATACAGATGCCCAATTAAGAAAGAAAACTAACATATTCTGTGGATAAATGTACAACCTCAAACAAAACAAGTGGCGTCTCTGTAATCCAAAAGGCTTTAACTGTCAAGAGGCGAGCAACAGGCGGGTTATTAATAACGGTGCTTGGCTGCATTTGTCTCTGTGTATAGGGTAACCAGGGGTCTCTTGAATAGCACTCTTGTTTGTGCCAACTCCAAAGTCCTGCAACCCGTTAGACGTAAGCAATAAACAAAGGCCAGCAAGTGGGGGAGGAAGCGGTACATACTAATACACACACAAACACCAATGTGTAAATATATATCTCTGTGCTTTGAATAAGAGTGCGAGAGTGTGGCCCAGTGTGCTTGTGCCTGAGAACAATCAATCTATGAAATCACCCTGCATCAATATTGTCCTCTGCTGGGGCCATTGTGTGGGGGGAGGGGAAAAATTGGATTTGTAAGAGATTTTGTGTGTATATTTGTACCCGTGTGTGTCTATGTGCAGACAGAAAATGGCTTTCTGCACTGCAGATGCATAAGGGAGAGGGTGGAGGGGAGGGGGCAGTTCAATTACAATTTCCTTTCCTTCCCCAGTCTCACTCTCTGCCAAGTAATTCATTTCAGAGGCAATTACCAATAAGACCGCATGCCCAGCCTGCTCAACTAACTCAAATGGATGAGCTGTCACAGCTGGGGGGGAGGGGGAGACACTTCAAGCTGCTCCAGATACACTCACAAACAACACCACCACCACCACCCATGGGGATGAGCAAAAAAAACTCTTTTCAAAGTTAAACACACTGACACATCCACACTGATATCTAGCAGCACATCTAAATCCACAGGGACATCCTGCAGTGATAAGAATCATTAACACCACAGCAATCTTTGATAATCATCATCTACGAGGAAAATCTCATTGTACCTCACACAGATTAACACACCTCATCAGAAGTGGTTTTCAACGATATCAAAAACAGCAACACTGAGATGAATCCGTTTTGAGGTCTGTGAAAAAGAGGTGCAATCATTGTGACAGTCCTTATAATAACATCAATTACAATTCCTTCACAGCCACTCATCTTCAAATTGATTTTTATCACAAAACAGTCAATGCATTTTGTGCCTTCTGATGTAGCATTAGAGAACAGTTGCATGGTAGCTACATTTACGTTTCCTGCCATTTATTTCTAAAGGCTTGAGTAATAAGGTTTTGTGGGCCAAGCTGGATTTGAGGAAAGAACCGTGTAGGATGCGACTGCTGACTGCCCGCTGACTCAAATTGAACTGTAATGGAATTACATGCAATTACCCGGCCTGCCTCCCCACTGGCCAAGCCAAGAGCAACAGAGTGCCTGAATAAAGGCAAACGCACACTGCAGTGGTCACAGTTTCTCCTTCAAAGTGGTGCCCTGCAAAGTGGTTTCAAAATATTTCAGTGAGGTCAGACAAAGCAAATGCCAATGTTATGCCACATGCACACATCCTCTGCTAGTTTTCCGGGGCAGAAGCAGGGTCAAACCAATTTCAATTCCTAAAAGTTCAGAAGTAGAATTGGACATTGATTGAAAAAGTAAAAAGTGCTGATGAATAAAATGAAATTGACCTCCACTTTGACAGGGCACATGTACAGTATAAAGGACTGGCAGAGGAAAATATAAATGAATTAGGGTAAAAAAAACAAGTTTTATTTATGACGCAGATTTGAGCTTTTCTCCATTGGCGAAAACAAATAAAAGGTGCGCAACATATATGCATGAGTGCACCTCTGTTTTAGCAAGTGAATTTCTTTTATTATGATGTCCCAGTGATGAGGCATACATACAGAAAGAGAAAAGAATAAGTGGATGATGCACTGATATATTGTTTAGCAGCCGATGCCGATGCCTTCAAAAACAACATCCAATGAATTAGTCAGAACCTCTAGGGTTATTGTACATCAGTGAGAATAAATCAGGTGCTACAGTATGCAATAATTGACCATTTAGTTACTGTCGGCATGTCAGTGCACAGACACAAGCTCAGTTTGGGTTTGGGACTTATAGAGAGTCGGGTCTTTGTGGTGTCGCGGTTATCTGAAGACCCTGACCGGGTAAAATAATGTCTGAAGACCCTGACCGGGTAAAATAATGTCAAAGTAAATGCTTTAGTATTGATCTGCTTCTAATCCCCTCGGTTCACAGAATGTAGTATGATAGCCCGTATTCAGGCTACACGGTAAACAGACAGCAATCCACACAGACTGCAGTCTGGAAAAGCCTTCTTAAGAAGGGGAACTGAGTCGCGGCAATTCTAGGTAATTCATTGGATCTCACTTTAAATGATGTGTAGCATGAGTCCTATGTTATACTGCTAGCCCAGTTTCCTCAGAGAGAGAAAGAGGTTAGTATCCAAGAAGTAACGTTTCTGCAGATATAAAGCCTTTAGTTGCTATTCAGGTAAAATAAATGCTTGACTCCTAGCTTTAAGTCCATAATAATCTGTAGTTCGCTTTGAGGTAGATGAGCGTCTCCAGGTTTTTTGGCAAGACGCGGCCTCTCTCTGGCCGCAGACAGCGCTCTGCAGTGGTAAAGATGCTCTCGACTACAGTGCCACAAGCAGGTATGGTAAACGCCCTCTTGGCCACCTGAGCAAGCAGAGGAAAGTCAATTGCTTTACGCTGCCAGTAATGCAAAGCCTCCTCGTCTGTGGGTTCCTCTCGTAGGTAGACGGCCAACTCCTGATCTAGGCTCTTGGCCTGTGTTGTGGGTCTCTGCTTGATGAAAGAGAACAGCTTGCAGGGCCGGGAAAGCGAGGAGACCGGTGATGGAGCTGGGGCAGGAGGGGTCTGGGATTGAGGATGTATGTTTGTGTTGAGGTCTATGGGGCTAGAGGCTGTGGAATGTTTGGACAACTCCTCTATGAGGACTTGTCTGTGCCAGTCAGGGTTGCTGCTCCAAGTGAGCTTGAACTGGGGGTCCAGGGTGGTGGCAGTGATGTAGAGAGGGTCCTCCAGGACAGGCGCCAGCCGACGCTCTACAGCCTGGCTGAGGCCCACCAGGAGAGAGGGGCAGTGGGGGGTTGAGGTCTCAGAGAGATGCTTGCGAAGGCCGAGAACACAAGGCAGAGCCAGGCTGATGGACACATGTCTGTCTGTCTGTATGTCTGCCTGTCTGTCCCCTTGCACCATGTCCCAGGCCTCAGTGAAGGGCTCCAAAGTGTCAGTCAGCTCCCTCAGCAGGCCTCTCTCTGAATCACCCAGCACCACCTCCCCCGGACCACTCACCTCCTCCAAGAACTCCACTGAGTCCAGCAGCCGACGAAGCACCTGCGTCGAAAAATGAAACAAAATAATTAACTATCCTATTTAAAACTATGGAAACATACATAGAAAGGCTAGCATTTCTCAGTGTCATATTAAAAACTTTGCTAAAATAGCCACATAATCGGGCTATGAAATGAAGGTTATTATGGACACATACTGCATACTGGTGACACTATATAATCTCTCTTTTTAGCATTCATAAGGAGTACAAACAACTAAAAAGCAACTGACACATTATAATGTATTTGGAAGCAGATATTGGGACAGTTTAAGAGTTTATTATCATTATTAATTTATTAATAGAGTTTATTAATCTTAAATGCGAAGTATGGGAAAAGAATGTAAAGCTCTGCTTGTATACTACACATACCTTAAGCTGAGCAGCCCAGTCTATTGCTACAGGGGGGGTATTTCCTGGTGCCCTCATGCTCAACCCAGGACCGTCAAACACCTGGCTAAGTTTCTCAGGTGGGACAGCAGAGGTAATGTAGTTGTAGAAACAGGCAGCCTTAGCCAGTGTGGAAGTGACCTGTGGACAGGAGCGTAACCCTTCTCTGACACATTGTTCAAGAGAGCGAGAGAAACAGTCCACACGAGAAACACCCAGACCCTGCTCCCACAAGTCCTCCCACTCTCCATCCTCTCCTCCATCACCATGGCCATTCCTGATCCCTCCCTCCACATTGTTACCATTGTCCACTTCTTCCCTGTCGTCTTCATCTTGCCCGTTAGCGAGAGAAGGTTCAACCAGGAAACCAGGAAGACAACACGGCTTTGCTGTTGTTGTTGCTGCTCGGAAATGGTCCGCGACCACACGAAATGCTCTCCCCGACACGCCATGAGAGTGACATACTTCATCAAAATCTGAAAGCACACGATTCCCAGAGCTGCCTCCAGTCAGGGGAAGACACGCCAGGAGAGCTGAGCGCATCTGCCAATCAGATGTGAGAAAATGACAGGTGACACCGACGTACCTACACATACACACACACACACACAGCAAGAGAGAGAGAGAGAGAGAGAGAGAGAGAGAGAGAGAGAGAGACAGAGACAGAGACAGACAGACAGAGAAGGGGACTCATCAGTTAGGGAATCAAACCAAGACGGAATCATGTTGTTTTTGGTTGATTTTACCTCCTTACCCTGAAGTGGCTCCAGTTAAGCCCCTCCAGAGATCCAGGCTGAGACTGAGGGCGTGCACTGAGGCCAGTGCCTGACGGGTTGCCAGCTGTGCCTGGTAGACGTAGGCTGGGAGGAGCTGGCTCTGGATGTAGTGCTGTGGCTCAGGAGTGTAACGGGGCTCCAGGAGCTGAAGCAGCTCTCTGAAGCCTTGATTTTCCACTATGGATACTGGCTGCAGATCACGCACGATCATCTTAGCTATAGCCTCAGAGATCAGAACCTGTGGTGACAAAACACTTTGTAAATGACCCTCATCGTAGCAAATGGTTTCATCGCAATGCCACAATAAATAATGCAACGCCTATGGGATTTCATAAATAGTAGCTTGGTTATTTGCATATCAAGCGATGATGGATTGTAACACACACCTGACGTGGGTCATGTCTGTCAAACTTGGTCACCCCTCCGCCAGAGCCTCCTCCTACTCCTCCCTCAAGAGTTCCCATTCCTCCAGCACTTCCTCCTCCTCCTCCACCTCCCACTCGAGTACTGATGGGGAGAGTGTAGCGGGTATTCCCTCCATTTGGGGTGAAACTGTGCAGGGAACCAGAGGAGTAACCCTCTCTCTTCATATCCTTCCTTTTCACAAAGTCATCATACATAGCCTGGTGCTTCCGCTGAATGGGAGAGACACAGAGAGGGGGGGGGGGGCAGCAATGTTATTGGTTGGCAGGTAGAACAGTAGATGTATAGCCTACATCTCTACCCCATACTGCCTTCTTTTGACATCTGTGGAAGAGGATACAGTATGGGTAGAGGAGCAACAGAGTGTCTTTACAGTTAGGTTTATATGTCTGACACTGCGTGGTAGCATATACATTAAACGATACTAGGGCCAGCTGTTTCAGCTGATGTTGCCAGAAACATGGTAAGACGAACAATAAGTACAGGCGATAAAAACATTTTATTTTGAAATGATTACCTTGAGATGCGTTACGAAGTTGGACGTGACACTCCGCTTCGCCTGGATCCTCGTACCACAAGCCTTGCAGTTGGACTCGATTTTGCCATTTTCACCTTCAAACACAATATTAAAGTAATCCAGAATAGACACCTTCGAAACTGACGCCATTGGAGCACACAGCTACTCTGCTCCGAAGTCAAATCAACTTGCGATCAAGGACAATCCCGAGTCCGAGGTATCAATCTCACCTCGCCACTGATCATGAGCGCAGGCCAGCGTGTTTACTTTTCTATCCCTGCTCACACATTAAAATAAAGAAAATGTTGATGCCAGTTGCGCAGACAAAAGAAAATGTAATTTCAGGCAGGAGTTGCGTGGCTTGCACGTCCAAAATCGGCCACAATCTGACTACACAGGCTGCTGTGGATGTCTGGAAACAGAAATACTTATAATAGTGAAGCTACATCCGTTGTTTCTGCGCTCCCATCCGTCGTTAGGACGCAAGTGAAGAGGAGGCAGCGCGCTGAGCTTCATGGAGGCACACAGCCAGTGTTATAATTGGAGCAGGAAGTAGCCTACACACAACAACCGGAGGATCGTTTCCCGTTTCGGCAGTTCCCGGTAATGTTCGGCTGTCCCCAGACAAGAGGAAGAGGTCGTCCTCTGATATAATACTTGCAAAACGAATAGAAATTCAGATTGGATTTCTGTATTGACAATAAAATAAAATAAAAAATTTTAATTAAAAATTCGACTGAATTGCATATTTTTTTAAATAATGAATTAGGGGAAAAGGAAACACATTTACAACATCAAAGACAATTTGGTGCCGCTAGCTAAAAAGGCCACGTTTGTAAAGGGATAAGAGGTTGTAAATAAAGGTTAATAAGGCGTTTACCATACGAATCAGTGATGAACAATTTAATTGATTCTGCAGCACTATTCAATAATAAAACAATGTGAATAAAACGCAATAAAACACAAACAATAAGAACAAATAGAGAGGAATACAATCAACAGGCAGAAACAAACTAACTTTTAATAATATATTGATTAATTATTGAAATTATTGTTATGCTGATAAATATGTTTTCTGGGAAACGGCTGATCTGGACCACAGTATATTTATTAACACGTTATTTAGGATTCATTAATGGATTACCAAAAATGTGTCACTGCATTACTATCAAATTAAATATACTGTATATATATTTAACACCATTCAAAGGATATTTCACAATCTGGCAACCAACAATTGGTTCTTATTAATTTCTCAAAATTGAGCTCTAGTATTAGTAAATTATTAATTAATAAATCTAATAATTGCAATTCATAAATCCTATTATAAAGGGTGCCATTCATTGAAAATAATCAAACAGGTTCTGTTTAAATTCATAAATTGATTTGACAGTCTACAACTCAAAATGTATTTAAAATAAATACTAAAATACAGCATTTACAAACAGATCCAGCTCAAACAGGTCACACATTGATGAGTGAGATGGTCAAAGCGCACAGGATCAAACATAATCTATCACTATTTACACATCGAGTCATTACAGAATCCACTGAAATCTCCACTTCAGAATTCACCGGGAAGATCGCTGTTGAATAAAATTGGCCCTTAAGCATTAGAGAGTACGAGTTATTTAGTCTGCCACCCTGTCCAACTGGGTTGCTGAAGCTTCCTCCAGGAGAATGTGTTTGTCCTTCATGCTGTGCTTCAGCTCCTGTCGGGTGTTCAAAACGGCAGTCTGCAGGGTTGCAATCTCAGCTGACAGCTCTATAACTGTAATATGACAGAAAAAGAGGAGAGTATACTGCTTTCAGTATCTAGTGTGTACTGTACATATCAAATCAAAATGATGATCTAATCTTTGCTATATTCTAAAGAAATCACATTAGCAGAGCAAAAGAATAATATATAATCTTTTGGGAATGGAACATCATACCTTGCTTAAATGACGACTGTGCATGTTTGAGAGATTGTGGCACCAAAATCCCAAACCATTTCAGTGGATCTTGCTGAGGATTCTGGTCGATTTTTCTTACTTCAGGAGCCTTCTCACTGCTTGTTTCCTCACTCGTCTCTTTCTCCGTCATATCCTTTTTAGGTTTGATTCTTCTCCTGACACCTATGAAACCACATCATTTACTGAATCAAAAATGTATTTTGTACAACATTCATTTTTATATCACCACATGGCCTATGGCAGACTCACCTTCTTCTTGAGGTCCAATATCCTCTATTGACCCGTTATCTTTTCCAACCTCATTACAACACTTTTGTTTCACCCTTTCTGTGCAGAAATCCACCTCACCACTGCCCAGAGTTCTGTAACACATAAATAAAAGTCACACATGTTGATAGTTATTCAATTCCAGTGAACAAAAATGTATTGGGAGCATTCATTTCTGTGAAACATGACAAATTCCTCACTTGGCATGAACACAGACCAGTGGCTCTATCTCACTCGCATACTGAAGTAGAGAGACGCATTTGTTTCCCATCGAATATCTCGCCTTGGACATAGAAAACCATCCCTGTGGGGAACATGAAATAGTAACTTAATGGTGAGTAGGGAAAGAGGATCCAGGCAATCGTTTGGTAGGTACAATTTCAAAAATTGTAAAATATTGCCCATCACAATTTCCCAGAGCCTAAGCTGAAAGAGTATAGTTTATTTTGTTTGATCAACAGATATTCAGTTTGCTACATTAGTATAATGCAAAAACCAGCAAATCCTTACATTTGTGAGGCTAAAGCTAGTATTTTTGGAACACTTGATACATTACCAAATATTGCTGTTTTGGCTTGATTTCAAAGGGCTTACACGTTCATAAACACACACATTTAGACGAAGATCCACGGTTTTCTGTGTGCTAGGCTAACGTTACCTGCTCTATGAGAGAGTTGAGAGTGGCTCGTTTCTCCTCTAGTAACTCAAGCTGGTCCATGAAACGGAGGAGTTTTTCGTCCAGTAACACAGAAGATTCCGCCAATTCGGACACACCCATGTCGACTTGTCGTAGAAACTCAAGTACTTTCTCATACAGTCTTTACTGCCGTCGCTTCCACTAGGAATCAGTCGTTCAGAGAGGCTGCGTTGACCCAAGACGTCTGCCGCTTCCGTGTAGCGTCATGTGACATACAGCGTCACGTGATACAGATCACATGTCCATAGAATTATACACTACACAACGCAGTAAATCAACGAAATAATGTAACATTATCAGTATTACAGAATTGAAGGTATAGCATTACAACATTTGAAGGAATGTCTTAATATTTTCATGACAACCAGCAATATTAATAGCAAAGCCAGCCATTATATGGCGTAAATGACGTATCGTTACATGACAAACAGGTCATATAACAGTCTGACTGTCATCGCTATTTATTATCAACTAAAGCTTGTAACACTATTAGCAAAATGTTGTTAAAGAAGAACAAAAACCCTGTTCCCATACCGGGAGTCGAACCCGGGCCGCCTGGGTGAAAACCAGGAATCCTAACCGCTAGACCATATGGGAAGACAATGTCTTCCCGAGTGCTTTAAGGATTATGTCCTAATATATAATACGTATATGTTTTACTACATCCAGTCGCATTTGGCAGTATGCAAGCCAGCTTTCCTTTTCTTGTTCAATAAGAATCAACCAAATATCTATATTTTTTCAATTGTCATTATTTATTGCCTCGTGATCAACACTCTTTCCATGTAGGTATGTTTAGTTCTTAAATGACACAAATAGAACAAGTAAATACATGATGTATACAACTAATGCAAATTAACCATAAACATCAAATATCAGATGACATAATCAGCATTAAATACATCTGTATCAATAACCTAGATAATTAACAAAAGCACAGATATGACTAAATCTATGGTTTAAACTACTGCTGCTAACACACTCCCATGAAAATGAAAAAAAATGAAATTCGGCTCGTTATTTGACTTCGGTTCTCTGTTTTTTTCGTTTTTGAATTCAGACTCCAAAAACAGAAATACGACGGTACATTTCCGTTTTATGGTATTTCCGTATTTCCGTTTTTTCAACTAAACGGTAAAACAAACTATCAAAACGTACACGGACCGAGATATGATGCAACCACACCTAGAGCTTGGAATGTAGGCTAACAACTAAATAATATTTACATGTTGTGAAGTATAGTGGGTACACATATCTGTTGAGAAACACATATTTAAAATAGTATTATTATGATATATAATTTTAAATATAATGGGAATGAGAATCAGAGCTGTTGGCTAAAATACAATCATACATCAGACTACAATTTCATTCTCGTGTCAAAAGGTAGGAACCAAAAAAAATAATATTTTATTTATATGGTGGGAACAAGGAGCTATTTGTTTATTTATTTGCCCAGAACGCCCGGTGTATCATTGATAAAGGTCCTTGGAAAGAGTATGAAATGATCCATTGGTTTGTCTTTTGAGTAGCCAGTCCTCCATATGCACAGACGTTTAGCTCTTTTAGCTTTCTTCTCCAGCATAAGCGTTACTGCACCAATAGCTCTCCGGGACAGAGACATTATTAAAAAAACAATACGACACGTGACAAATTTAACAAGCTGAATTTAGTGAAATTAACTATTAAATCGTGTTGCATGAGACTTAATTTTTTGCTTCTTGTAACTTTGGACTGTCAAGTTGCATGGAAATTATGCTTCATGCAATTTGAAACCTGCAACTAGTTGTGCGAAAGTTTCACAACAGTTTAACAAACTCTGTCGTAAATTAGAGGTCTCGGGGAATCTGAAGAGCGCTAGTTGAAACATAAAAAAAAAAAATGCTGAAATAAATACAGAAATATTGAAACGTTAAAATAAACGTACAGCAGCAGCATTGGCACCAGCATTATAAAGCCCATTACACAGCCAGACACCACAACTCCCCGTAGCTCGCCGTGATCGTATAGTGGTTAGTACTCTGCGTTGTGGCCGCAGCAACCCCGGTTCGAATCCGGGTCACGGCAGGGTTAAATCCCTGACACGGCTTGGGAGGACAACTTTTTTTAAACACAGTCAACACAGTATGTCCATTACAACACAGGCACAGCGACCGATTCGCGTAAAAATGCTAGAGTATAACTGAAAATGACGATAAACAAATGCACAATTATTAATCAGCCAGTCAGCTAATGCCACAACAGCTGACATTTTCGATCATTTGTGATTTTGAGAGAGTTGACTGTGTATTTTAATTCGGGGACTTGAGTTAGTTTTCAGGCCGTTTAGAAAATTTGAATTGAGCAGACCTCTATTAATAAATGCTGCTTTTACTCATTTCTGCAAAGTGCTCTGTAGCCTTGAACAGCCACGTCAAAGTGAAAGGTCGTTGCTCATACTTGAAAGGTCGTTGCTCATACTTGCTCAACACTCATTTTCAAATGCAACATACTTACTAACAATTATAATAATTTGTACCTTTGTAACAAAGAGATGGGCTGGTACTGTGGAGTAAACGACGCATTTTATTGGTCGTGGCAAACGACAACGTCCATGTTCCGAGATGAAAAGCCAATCAATGGACCAACAGATCGCATGTGCTGCTAGCTCTATGAATACAGCCGTATGATTGGTCTTTGAAATCGCAAGTAGCCGCCCCCTGCTCGAGTGAGTTCCGCTTTTGAGTGTATCTGCGCTGACATGTCTTGCATTTAGACAGATTTGGACTATTGGATCTCCGAGATTAATTTATCCAACACTCTATATTCAATACAGAGGTTAAACTCTGTGCGTCTGGACAGCCATTCTATCACTGGTAAGGTCAAAATACACATGCGTTATTTGTTTTGTCTGCTATTGAGCTCTTTGACTTTACACAATCTATACTCTAAAAACATACTTTGTAAATTCGTGAGAAATGACGTTTATAGACTAAGTGCAGTGAATTAAACTGCATTTGTCAATTAAACTAACTCATGTATGTGCATAATCTTTAATGTCACAATGTTGAAATCAATCAAATTTAAACCTACTGTGGATTAAGAGTGTTGACCATCCTTTCTTGAAACAGATAATGGATGCCACATCAGCAACTGGAGTTCTTCATCCCTACTGGCCACGGGACCTTTTGATTCCCACCTATGTGGCCAATGACCGATCTATGTCAGAGATTCTGGTGTTCCTGTTTTCTGTGTCTGGGGTGTTTCTGCTTGTGACCTGGCTGATCACCGGACAGAACGGGACCACCGGCCGGCTGGGGGCTTGGAGGCGTCTGGCTGTGTGCTGGTTCGCCGTTTGTGGTTTCATCCATGGCGTCATAGAGGGATGGTTCTCACTGTATTATGATATTATTCCAGGAGACCAGAGCTTCCTGTCACAGCTGTGTGAGTACAAACAAGATACAACAAGTTGAGAAAAGTGTATGAACTGTGATGGTGCAGTCTACATGAGTGAATACGTTTTACATTTTCTCTCACAGGGAAAGAGTACTCCAAAGGAGACAGTCGATATGTAATGTGAGTTCATCTTTTCATAGAACTACGTTGAACTTTTACAATAAAGCTGTAACTAATTGCCTGTATATTTCTAGAGCGGATAACTTCACTGTCTGTATGGAGACTGTGACTGCATGGTTATGGGGACCTTTCAGCTTTTGGGCTGTGTACGCCTTCTTAACTAAGAAGTCCTACAGATTTGTTCTGCAACTCATCATTTCATTAGGTAAGAAGGTGCAATTACAACAAAACGCATCACTTGACTTTTAAGCAATTTCTCAGAATCGAATTACTTGTTTTCATATTTACATGATGGGTCTTATCACATAATCTGATTCCAGGTCAGCTGTACGGAGCAGTGCTTTACTTCTACACAGAGCACAGAGATGGTTATGCTCACAGTGAGTTGGGACACCCGGTCTACTTCTGGTTCTACTTTGTGTTCATGAACGCGCTGTGGATCATCATACCGCTTGTGCTCATTGTGGATGCATGGAGACAGCTGTCAGCCGCGCAGACACACACGGACAACACGAAGTCTAAGAGGAAGTGACAACAGGGAGAGTTTACTGTGGGACTGTAGGGCAATTACTACATGAGGCACAAGGGAAAAGACCACTTGGGAAAGCGCTACGTTCAAAGATGGAACATAATAAATGAATTATTGTTTGGAGTTGGTTATAGTGTGTCCTGTTGTGCCTGTAGAATTATCACTTAATTTTAAAGTGCAATTTGTTCCTTGTGTTTACAACAATAAAGCTTTTATTTTTGTTCAATAATAAAGCTGCGTTTTGTTTGTGGGGCCTTGGGGAGAGGGGCAATAACATCTGCATTTTGTAAATATTTTACACAACTTCATGAATGGACTGAACACTGCCTCACTGCATACAGCGCCTCTTCGACGTGGAACCTAGTTTCAAGTATTTGTTTTTGTAAAAAAAGTTCAATTAATTTTGATTCTCATGTAAATACAGGTTCCTACTATATGAAATGTGACCTCGGAGTTTACCCCATAAGCATTTAGTCCGCTGGTGTAAAGTAATTCATGTCATTACGGTCGCGATGCCAGTTGCGACCTTTGAGATAATTCATCTAGTGCAGTGATGTAACATGAACAATTATCTTTTAACGCTAATGCAATGCAGACTTTTCCAAAACAAATATGGTCTGTCTTAATAAATAATTGATAAGGAAGTAGATGCACTAAGTTAATGGGTGCTGTATTGTTTTACTAAACGTAAATATAAAGAAAACACAGACTTTTAATGTATTCAGTTGCCGTAGAATTTTAATTTGGTAAAGTTACGTTTTATAAATGATGAACTTGAAATGTTAAGAACTACAAACATTAGAGTTTCCTTCCTTGTAAAGACATAATCATCATAATCATACATATTTGCACTACAAAGTATATGCATGAATAAGTAAAAATGGATCCCCCAGGTTCTCACCGGGCCGAAATAGCTCAGTTGGGAGAGCGTTAGACTGAAGATCTAAAGGTCCCTGGTTCGATCCCGGGTTTCGGCATTTTGACTCACCGCCATGTGGAGTACTTCAATTTTTAGAAGACATGACAAAGCCTGGCACCTTGTGGTCCACTAGAGGAACTAAACATATAACGGGGTAATTTCATGTATTGCACTCATGGAATAGGCTATGATCTCATTCAACAATCAGACCTGGAAAATCACATTAATTCCTCCAAAAGACGTTTTTGACATGTGTTTTTTACTTTTGAGTTGCATTCAGGCATCTCATACACAATAAGCAATGCGTTAGAAAAAAAATGGGCATTCACAGATTAATAGCATTACTTTTGAGCTGATGTAGTTGCTGTACATATACTTTAATTAAATGGTGAATCATGAGGAGAAACTTACCATTCTACAGATAGCGTCTGATAATAAACAGTAAATATTTCATCATCAGCTGAACATTTTGCTGAGTCTAAGGCCCAACTGTGCATTTCTCTCTTTCTCTGTACTTGCTATGTCTTTAAGTGCCTTCAGAGCAGCAGGTGATTCTGGCTGTAGCTCTAACAGTTTCCTAAATGCCTGCCTGGCCTCCTCCAGCTCATTCAACATCTGGCAGGCTTGGCCCCTCCGGTACCAGGCTTTAGCCCCACCCGGTTCCAGATGAGTAGCTTTAGTCGCACTGGCCTTAGCCCGCTGCGGTTGGTTCAATTTGAGCTGGCACAAGGACATGTTTGAGTGGAGCTCTGCTTTAATGGTTTTGAATTCATTAGCTGAAGGAAGTTGCTGTAGTTTATCACCAGTGTCTGTGTCTCTCTGCTCCTCTGCTTCTTGTCCTTTCTTCTCCACCTCGTTAACATGGCCATGGAGAGTGATGAGAAGTTTGAGGGCCCGGCTGTAGCTGTCTGCTGCTCCCCAAACATCCCCGCTCCTGAACCTCACTCCACCCCTCTCTTTGTGTGACTTCACCCACTGACACTTTTCGACAGGAGACATCTCCCAGGATTCCTTGCCTGGTGTGAAAGCTTGGAGTTCAATCGTGGCACATAAAGGCAGGTTTTCCTCAGCAGGATGGGGGACAGAGACATCTGGTCCACTTCCCACTGGAGAAATCAGTATCTGAGAAGCAAAACACAATGATTTGAGTGGCTGTGTACTTTCAAATGCTTGCAAATACTATGTGTAACTTTTAAGCCTGCAATCCATTTTCAACAAAAAAGGCTTCAGGGAGCACTGGCAAATTGGGACCAAATTGAGGTATGAAAAATCCAAAATTTTCTTTTTAGGCACCTGGTCTGCACCACATCCTTTACTGTTAACATTAAAATCCCAACAAGGTTTATTTTTAACACCCTTCATATCAAAGCTAAAGAGCTTACTGAAAATATTGAGTGCACTCAAGTAAAAAACAACAGTCTCAAAGTATTCAAAAACCCACTCCCACCAGTGCCTCTAAGCTGTCACTATATGTCAGGATACTGCAAATATCATGTACTCTTTCCATATGTAAAATGTAAACCTAACGATCATAGTTATGGATATTTTTTCAGCATTTACTTTCAGTTTGCAAAGAATTTGTGCCACAAAAATTTGACGAAACAATGACATTGGATTATAATTCCAGTTCTCTTACCTCACACTTCTCTCCCGCCCTCATCCCCTCCACACATGCCTCTGTGATATCGCATTGACCCTCTCCCAGCCTCAATGTAGTCCAGTCACCCAGTGGGACCTGCAGCACAGAGTCCTGGCATCTTGGGAAGGCTGTGGCCTCTGTCTCTGTGACCCATTGGTCAGGTTGGACTGACTGTCCCTCATTTCCATTTTCAGATACTAAACTCTCTGCTTCATCCCGGCTAGCTTTGAGCTGCACTCGGACTTGACACAGTGAACCCAACCTTGGACAGCTACTGGATGAGCATGCTGAAAGAGACAAAGAGAAATTATGTGTGCTAGAATAGATACTTAATACAGTTCTATTCTACAAATGTGGATTTAAAATGTATCATTTATTTTTGAGGAATAAAGTAATAGAAAATCCTCATACATGCACCATCTCCAGAATTAGAAACAGTCTGTTGACTCCCTCTGTGTGTCTGCTTCTGCTGGACTTTACAGAGGCCTCCTGGACACACAGACACCCAAGAGGTGACATTGACGCCATGCAATGTTTGAAACGGTGGACCAGGATCCATCTTCATGTCATAAAAATATCAAAACATAAATGATGATCATATCTTTTCTTCAGACATCTATTTGAATGCATTGCTCCATCCATAGAGTGTTTCCCGAGGGACCATACAACTCTGTCTGTTTCTTAGTGTTGTAGTTAACTACAGTTAACACTACAGTCAACAGATAACACTATAGTCAACAGATAACACTATAGTCAACTGCTACAGTTTTGTTGTGAAGAATATTGAGAGATTTACAATCAGTATTTAAACGTAGTTAACCATGTTAGCACCCCGAGTTGAGTTAACGTTACAACTATGTAACATTAGTCAGTTAGCTTAATACATCACCAAGCCAATGTTGGTTTTTATTTCATAGAAATTATTCAAAAAGACAAAGAAAGTTAAGTACAGTAAAATAACTGGGTTTTGGGGGTCTCTAGTTTCAGCGTGACCGTTGCTAAAACGAATATGTAGGCTACAACACTACTTTACGCAACGTTAGTGCATTAACGTAGCTAATGCTAGCCCGTGGATACAACAGTGGTTAACAGAAACACCGTAGCATCAGGTAACGTTAGCTAGCTTTATGGCGCGGCAATCAAAAACAACTGACTTTCTCTACATAATCTGAGCTGTGACGGAGTTAAGTGCTAAACGCAATTAAAAGGCATGTATCTCACCTCATACACAATCCTGACACGAAGTATAAATAAGCCCCTTAATCAGACAGTAATAAACTGTCAGATGGTCACATAAACAAACGAGAAGTACTTTTCTTCTTCTTCGTCTCCTTTAAGGCTTCTTCTTCGTGTGTAATGACGGGTGCCACGCCAGCTCGTAGCATTACCGCCATCTACGGTACCGGAATGTAAAAAAAAAAACCTTTTCCTGTGTCATTTTATTTCAGTCACGTAAATATCCATGATATTACCCCCTAGAAATTGCAACACATCCATTTTATGTGTCGTCTGTCTGTAAACTACTGCTCTTGTCTTCCAGCAGGTGGAGACAAAGATGATCGTGAAAAGGCAGTAAAAGAGGAGAAAGTTTAAACTTAGGCTAAAGTTAAACTTCAAGTTGCAGTAAAAACAGCTTGAAACGGAGGCTGTCTTCGTGGTTTTAACTTTTATCAGTGAAGTTGATTTATTTTTGCTTTGGCCCACATACATTTTCTCCCCAGATTTCTGCCTAGAGTAGCAAACACGCATTTAACACAATCTATATTCTCAACACTCAAACATAAAGCATGTTTCAAAAGAAAAAGCTGCATTGGTGTTTTTTTATGCTTGGGGAATTATGGGCCAAAGCTTAAGTGCACTCTTGTCAAATGAAGTGTTCAACAAAATATGCACGTATCTTATCTGTTAGTATTGACCCCTGACTTGTTCCACTCGTGTTTAAGGCCTGTGTGTTAATCTGTCCTTTCAGTATGATTTAGGCCTCTATCTTTTCAACACTAGAGACCATTAGTTCTATCCTAAGAATACCACACTGGGCAACCAACATGTGTTGTGTGCATGTGTGTGTGTGTGTGTGTGTGTGTGTGTGCGTGTGTGTGTGTGTGCGCGTGAGAGAGAGAGATAAAGGAAGGTCATCTGAGATGCCATCTGTCCTCCTACATGTGGCCTGTTTGACTCTTAATGAGCAGTCGACAAGGTAAAACACTTGCTATAGTATTAGGTATACAGAGGTGAATCTCATGGAAGGCTTCATATGTGTCCGAGTTTATGAAAAGGTTCAAGAAAGTTTATCCTCACTTCATGAAACAAAGAATTAAAGGAATAACTCTTTCAATAACAGCTACCATGATGAAAATCGTATCATGAAAAAAACACATATGCTGGTAAAATGCTTGACAGAACGTTAATGGCTTTGTAAGACAGAAAAGGGGCTGAGATCAATTGTAAAACGTGGTCACAAAAATGGAATTTTAGGGAGTTAAAAAAATCATATTCATATACGATTTGTGAGGAAATGATTCATATACATAAGAGTCTTTTTTGTTTGTTTTATAGAACAAAACAAATTTGTGACCACATTGGTATTGCCCAGGTTGTCCATTTCACATGCTGTTGTGGTACTTTATCTCAGTAGGTGGCAGTATTTAACCTTGAGCTATAGTTGCTGTTCTGACTCATAAAGCAAACTGTTGCTAAAACAATAAGAACATACCCAGAGTATGATGACTTTTTTATGGCCGCAGCTTGCAAAACGATCTTAAAAAGATGTATGTACTGTGTACAGGTTTTTTGTCTTTGTAGTGGTTAACTAGCAACTTTGTTCCAGTATAATCTGTTCAGTATCTTGGTCACAATCTTAAATAAGAATCTATAGGATGTTGTGTGTTGTGTAATGGTATGTAGTTGTCTAAAACAATTACTTTCAGCCCCTAGGGTTATCAGATTTGATAAATTCCCAAATATCGATATCAGTATTAGCCTCACAAATCCAATATTGGTCCGTCTATAGTTCAGAGTGAGCAGAAAACATTTTGACACTAAAATAAAAGATTGTAGACCATATGATATGAGACAATAGATGTGCTGCAGTGAAACATCTTAAATCTAATTTGCAGACATCAATGCCTACTCAGTCATCGTCATTGTCTTACAATAAAGAGAGGCTCTTTGAAGAGACTCCACCAAGAACAACTAGGTAAAGAGGAAGAACACAACGTTTCGGTTGGAGTCTCTGGCTTCCCAGTAATATGAACATGACATTACTTGGGCAGCTAGTACATAGAGTGTGTAATGTAGTCAGTATTGACTGAGTGATGTAATTCAATTTCAGTTATTTTGCAATAAGAGGTATTTGAAATGTTCATAAACTCTAACAGATTTGCAGCATGTGCATCATAACGTTTGAAGCAAACACTTACTCCCAAATGTCCTCTGAGCACATGCACTCAGCTCCAGCCAAATATGGACAAAAAGTGAATCAGTGAGAATATAAGGCTCGTCCTCAACTGTGTTTTACTGCTCTGGAATAAATTAATGTGAGAGATTTCATTTCGCATTTCAATGCTTGGACGTGTGAAGGATAGACAAAGTAAATACTTGGGAAAATATGGATGGGTGGATGGAAGGATGTGGATTTTTCCAGTTTTCACATTCTAATCGCAGTCCTTTTAATAGCTTTATTAGATGCAGATGTACTGAAAAGGTTGGTCAATTAAGGAAATAGTGTATGAAAATAAATAGTTTTAGTATCAAACATGTTGTCTGCTACAGGTACTTTATACAGTAATAGTGACACAGTAATTGTCACATTTCTTAAACTAACTCTTTCCAAGTGCTTATATTTTCAATTTGTTCCCGCATTTCAAATACATTTTTCAATCAAGTTTCTAGAGCTTCAAATACTTCTAAATTCCAATATACATGTATGACGCAAAGGCAAGCATAGAGTGTATCTGGATGTCTTTTTTCCTCTGTTCTCACACTAAACAGAACCTTCCCTTGTTTTAATCCTCCTCCATGTGTTACCCATATCATCTCTTTCTCCTCTGCTTCTCCTATCTACCCTCTCTTTCAACCCCCTTCACCTTCTGCTTGGCTCCCTCCGACTTCCCAGCTGGCCTATTGTGAAATGTCCCAGTGGGTAAGTTCAGAAGCATGTATCCCAGGGCTCGTGGACCACTTAATGTTCACCAGAAGGGCGTTGCACCCTGCCAGTAGTTGGGTCCAACATGCGTCATTCAGGGAAAACGTGGAGTATGACAGGTGAACAAAAGTGAGAATTGTTCCAGATAGCAAAAGAGGAGATAAAATATCAGAACAGCTAGAGAGATATAAATCAGTTGGTGGGCGGGTAGGTAGGTATATAGATGGGTAGATGGATAGATAGATAGATAGATAGATAGATAGATAGATAGAATGAGGCATGGACGGATGGATGGATGGATGGATGGATGGATGGATGGATGGATGTGGATTTGGGTGGAGACTTTTCCCACGTGGATAAGGATGGACCGACCACCAGCAGGATCACACAGCGGAACTAACCGAGAATGTCAATCCCACCACAGAGACTATCAACACAATTTACTGGCTGAGAGAGAGAACGAGAGAGAAGGTGATAAACTAATGGTCTTTTCCTTTTCATCAATGATATGGTAGCCATTCTCTTAACAGGAACAGACAGCAGGATTCTTTGAAGACAAACTTATTACTCCACCACAAGCACTAAACATTGAAGCTTGTCCAACATTCTGCCTGTGTTTGTGTTTTTCCTCATAAAAGCGGCGGCCAGCTCGCCTGTAATCCCAACATCACACATTCCGAAACACTCATAGAGACACACACACACACACACGTATGCTTGTGCGCACACACACACATATATACATATACACACACACACACATACACAACCTCCACGACCCTGGCCGGCCAGAGGCTAACTCGTAAACAGATCAGGCCACACGACGGGGTGTTTATCCCTCACAGCGAGAGGGACTGCAGCACATAATGTTGTCCGTGCATGTAGGTGTGAGTGTGTCGAGCACCTCAACTGTAGCTAGTTTTACTCCCTCTGGGCTGTTTGTTGTTGATACTGAGAGACACTGACAACAGGCTCAGACTTCACTATGTAAACTCAGTGTGAAGGCAGAGGCTTTATGCTAAGTGATTCCCACCTTCAGCATTAGTAGATTAGACAAACAAGATCAACTAAACGATCATCATACCACATTAAGACTCCTCCTCCAGACTGTTCAAAAATTTAATGTAAAACTTTAGCCAAAGAAGATCAAACCAAAACCTCAAACAAAGCATTTTTCCACCATTTCCTAGCATATTGTAATGACTTTGGGTGAATGCTGTACTACTGTAACAATGAGCTGACAGTCCAGAGGAGTTTGATTTATTGAGGTTTCCAGGTCAAGTGGGGATCAAGGCTGATCCAGAGGCTGATTAGAGCCACTGAAACGATAGGGTCAAGAGAGACAGATCTAAGGGTGAACATTATCAGTCTACCACTTGCTGCACCAACACATATGGCATATTGTATCCATCATTGTCATGTGAGTTTTGCATTTAGACTGATCAATAAAAAAAAACAAAGCCTGTCTTACTGCACGGCCTTGTAATTCACACTGATTTACAAGCTGAGTTGCACAAGCAGTGAAGTATGACTTCTCTCTTCCATTAGCAACGATGGAGCAGAGTCTGCCAGGTCAGGGCCATTCATCTACATTATAATGTCATGATGAGATTGCTCCAACTGTAATTGAGAAAAACAGGCTCTCAGTCAAACTCCCAGGGTAACGAGACATCATAGTATTGCATCTTTAAGTAGCAGATGCAGTGGTACATGCACAATGGCTGCACATTTAAGTCACGCTCTTATGAAAGTGTTGAGCGCACGAATAACTGTTTGACTGCAATCAAAAACAGTAGTAGTTGCGCTACTACTATTATGGGCCACTGAATGCCACAGGAGATCTTTACTCCTTGTGGCCATGAATCTGTACAATCCCTGTCTCATTGCTGGACACTGACAAGAATAATTCACGCACTATTGTCATATACTTTAATACTTCAAACTCAATCCACTGCTGCAATCTGCTTTTCCAATCACATCTACTACTATCTACTATTTTGTGTTTTTTAAATAGCAAAATAGTAATATTGTAGCATACAGTACATGGATGCACG